GGGTGGTGTGTGGGGTGTTGAATCCATTGGTATATTGGCGCTACATCAGTGCTATTAATGTCCACGGAATATGTTCATGATGTTCATGCTAGTAAGGGTTTTGGTGCTTCATATGTACCTACAGTGGTATGCTAGACAGGTGCATCTTTTTTTTTCCCTTGAACAAAATTCCAAATCGAGGAAATATAGTGACTTATATGATCTTTGTTACTCCACAAATTCAGCTCTCAAACAGTAATGAAACCATGCAGCAAGCAAAAAGGCAACTACACTTTTGGTTTAGGTATTTTGCTTAAAAACACAAAATCACATAAGTTAAGAGTCAGAGATAAAGTTACTTCAGAACAAAATGCTATTTGCATCCACAGAGAGCATGTCACCTTATTATTGATCAAATTGTGAAGCGCTATAACACTTCGGATCAGGGATGAAAGATATATGACCAGCATCATGTCATTCGTTTTCACTGCACAGATACGGTAAGAAAATTAACAATATACCTGACAAGTACACAATCATGCAAAAAAAAAAAAACAAAAACAAAAAATATTATTTACAATTTCTGGCCTCTTTGTCATTCACTTACCTGCAAATGCCTTGATTAACTCGGTCACGTTGAGATTTGGAAGAAGGTTGAACACATCCTGCCAATTGGACTATATGATAAGCAAAGAGGAACACGACAAAAGATCCTCGCATACAGAGCAAAATACAGTGTGAGCAGTATGCAGTAAAATAATAATTTCTCTTGCATTCTTCATAACAACATCCGACGACGGAGTTACTGTTCAGGATAAATGACGGGAGTTACTGTCCAAGACAAATGAAGGGTCTGACATGACCACCTCCAAGGAAAATACACTATGCCACATAGTTTGACCCGAACAGTAGAAAGGCTAAAAGAAAAGGGATCAATTAGAGAGGCTAAAAGAAGACATTTCAACCTCACGGTCAATGAAAAAGCAAAATTACAATGTCTAGCAACTGCCACACCTAATCCAAATGCAGAATGAATACGTCAAATTTAAATGAAGCAGTGACAACATTACACTTGGAGAAGTACTTTCACAATGTTGCTTTAATTTTGGGCGAAAGAACTTAATCGGGTTCGCCACTATGTCTCTGAACAAGTGCAACTATCTACACAATGCAAATATATGCTGATAGAAGGTAAAATTCAGGAATATATATGACATCAAATAAGTAGAACGCAAGTGCAAGGACAAGCAGTACCTGTAAATGATAAAGAATCTCATGATTTAATGGGAGCTTGCCATCAACAACAAGGTCAAGGTAAGCACGTATCTCTCGTAGCCGTGCATCCAAACCCTTCAAAGCTGCAAGTTTTCCAGTGACCTGCATAATTTCCTTTTGGTCAGATAACCAACGAGAGAGATCAAGAGGGAGAAGCCCTTGTAATCTTGAGCTTCAGCTCTTGATAACTTCTTCTGTAATTGGAAATAAGGTGATAACTGAAGGAAAGAAGAAAAACCTCAGTCGCAAGGGTGCTGATGGTTGTATCCTTCACATCTCTCAACAAGTGCTCCACTCCTGTTGATGCACATCAGAAGTATTGAACTCCAATTAAAGTTGATTTGAATCTCCAATCTTAACTATTAGAGAGAAAAAATCGATAAGAAAATACTTATTTTCATCTCATGGGTTACCAATTTCCTCCACTTCATGAGCAGCAATTTCTGAAGGAACATGAACAAAAACCTTCTGGCTTTTCTGAGTAGCATTCTGTAACATAAGCAAGCATTAATCTACTTTAATATCACATCCCTCTAAGAAAATACTGCACCAGCCAAGATATTTGATTGATAAAAATCTCCTTAATTACAGAGAAAATTATTAAAGAACAACTAAACCTCCCACTCAAGGTTCATAAAAATGAAATGTATCACTAACAAAAAGAAAAAATTGAACTGTATCCGATCAATTCAGTCATAAGAGCTAACATACAAAGTAAAAAAGAATTGGCAACTCATACCTCTTTAACCTCCTCAACAGCATAGTAAGCTTTGGTGGGTATTCCCAACTCCTTTGGTTGGACATCTATTATAACCAACACGGGATTTGGAACATAGCTGTAATACCATATAGACTAAATAAATAAGTACAAAGACGATAATAAATAAATTATTTTTAGAGGGGGAGTGGAATCTTGGCAGTAGAAAAATGTCCACTCACAGCCATGTACTGTGCTTCAAGATGACTTTGGTGGTCTAACAGAGATGAAATAAAGCTATGCACTTTGTCTACTCCTCTAATCTACTTTTCTTCTTTCTAAGGAATAGTATTTTTTTTTCTTTTGTTGGACATGGAAGGGGTCTCAAGAAGATATCAAAGAATGCATCATCGACTACAAAATAACTTAGCACTCGAACAAAAAAAAGTGGTCTTACTCATTAAATAAACCGTGAATATCCAAGTCATTCTCCCGCAATTTGGGGCCTGTACTATACCAACCCACGACATGCTCCTTCGCTGCAACAATTTTTAGAAATTTATAAAATGAAAATAACCGTGACAATCTCCAAAAGACAGTACAAGTAACTCTATATTATTGCCACCAAGTTTACTCATGCAATACCATTTATTCTCTTGAACATGGAAAACATTGCTTCATGGTAGTTGTGGTCAAGAAACCATATGCTTGGATCCTTGTCTTCCTCTTCAAAAGGCACTGCAAGAACCAAATTTACACCATTGAGTCATCTCTGTGATATTTCCATTCCAAAAGATCTTAGGCTTCATAAACTAATGAACTGAACAACACCATTTATAAAAGTTGCAAAAACCAACAATAAAGATGCTCCATTCTATGCTGTTGTCCATTATAACAAGCAGGGAACAGACTTTTCAGCAGAACATAATGCCATCTCATCTGTAATATGTTCATGAATTTAGTTAAAGGAATAAAATTGAAAAAGGAAGAGCCAAGGGAAAGACAAATTCGAAGGTATTTCATTCCTGTCAAAGAAAATCCAAATACAAAGATTTCTCAATGACACGTCAAATAAAAAACATCATCTTTTGTATTTTCTTTGGCTTCCCTTGGTGAATCTATGACCTAGAGAAGTTTTTACTAGGCTCACTCACAACCAACTACAACATAAACGATGCTGCTTCATTTCTAGACCCATGTACATGAAGAATGCTGCTTCATTTCTAGAAGCTATAGAAGCTACATTGCCTAGTACTGGTCGAAAAACTATCACATTATCCCCTTTTTCCAATTTCTTAGTAAGTAAAATAAACCCAAGAAAAAACTTGTCCATTTCCATTAATAAGAGCATTTATCTTTGCAATGCGGTTGGGAAATCATGAATGCTTTTGTTTTCCCCGATTCAAAGGTGCTGCCCAGTGCTATGTTGTCTTTCCTCGAAAAGTAATGGAAGGATTCACAAAGTTTTTGAAGTGCTAGTGTTCAAACTGAGATGCACTTAAACTCTTTAATTTGAGGGTTCTCCAAAATCTGCTCAGCCTGCATTTTTGGGGTCCATACTTTTCTTATTTTAGAATTCCTGTTCTGCTTTGCCTGTGGTCTATACTTCACATGTGCCCATGATTATTCTTAGTTTAAAAGCTATAATCGGACAGCATAGCTTCACTCAGGAATCTAATGTGCATACAAAGAGTGCAAGAAGCAAATGCTCACAGAAGTCTAAACGAAGAAAGCCCTTTCAAACCCTTCTCCTCTCTTCTCTCTCATTCTCTCCATTATTCCCTAACACTCCTTCCTAGAACTAAAATAAAACCCAAATCCAAGCATTAATTTAAACAATAAAATCACACCCCCAGAAACCTAGAGTTATAAGTGCCTCAAAACATTACAATGCCACCGAACAAACCCTAATACTCAATTCCCCAAACATACCTTTTATTCATTTATGCGTTTGCTTTATCACAGCCAAGTTATACAAACGAACCCATATACAACTTCTGGGTATTTTTCGTGTCAGATAAACATATATAGAGAACAAAAAGATTTAATAAAAGGAAATCGCAGAGTTTAATTTCAGATCTAATCATAACGAGGAAAATGAAAGGGAGGTGTGTGTGGCCATGTGGGTGTTGTGGGGGAAGGGATTGTGGATGAGAATTGAAAAAAGGCTAAACCTGCATAGCTATTGGAGACATCGACGGTGCCTTTGAAAGAACTCCCGAGGAGGACACCGATGACGCGCTTTCGAGTGTCTTTGGCGACTCTGTTGTAGTTGTCGACTATGCTTAGCAGTACCAAAGGATGTACTATCACCTTCTCAATCGGCCGAGCCGATATCTGCTGCGACTTTATCACGTCCATGGCGAATCGCCGCAATTACTATGGCGTCTCAATCAAATTTCTCTGCAAAACCCTTGTTTTGTCCTATCTCTCCCTGGTCTCTGAGTTTCGTTCAAGAAAGGAATCTCAAAAGTCACAAGTACAGTGTTTTTTTACCATAAAATATTGGAATATATAGGAACTGATGGTGGGCCGGGTTGGAAGGGTGACCATGTTGGAGAATGGGCATATGTGTATTCTAGTTGTTACCTAAAGTAAGGGTGCAAGTTAGACCGGTTGTATGGTTTGAGAGGTTAACCTTAACCTAATTTTAAGTATATAATTTTTAATTTTAATTTTAACTCTATTTTAACTCAAGGTATTTAATTTGAGTATTGTTCGAGTTTAATTTAGGTAAGTTCGGATTGAATTTGAATTACTTAATTTGGACTTATTTCGGGTTAAAAATTAGGTTTCGCTTGGATTACTTATTTTGGGTTAATTTTTTGAAGTGTAAATTTGATTTTTTGAAGTGTAGATCTAATTTTTTTTTAAGTGATTTGAGATAAAGGGCGAGACGCAAATGAAAAAACAGGGAGTGAAAGAGGAAGGAATGACGAGTGAGAGACAGATCTGAGAATGATGGAGATACAAAGGTGAAGACTTCAATTGAAATGAAAATTTGAACTCTAAAGAGTGAAAATAAATATTAACCCTAGTTAAATATATTAATATATTTATGTGTATTCGAGTTCAATTCGATTTAATAATCAGGTTCAACCCGATTTTAATATTCAGGTTGAGACCTTAATCCGAGGCTTGTCCAAATTCAATTCGGGTGGGAGTTTTTTTGCTCAAACCCAACTCAAGTTTTAAAAATTATAACTCAAACCCTATTTTTTTTTTGAATTATACTCGGGTTGAATTTAGGTTAGCCCACTCAAGTTATATCCCTAATCTAAAGTAGAATTGGTAATGAGTTATGTTGTATTAAATTGTATTGTTTCAAAATTTATTTATTGCTAAGTCATTTATTATTATAGATAATCGAATTTGTATTCTTTCTATTAGGAATTGATCTAAACTCAAACTTAGAGTGTTTATTTTATTTAATGTTGAGTCTTGTTAGTTTGAATAAGTCTAAACTATTTTGAAGACCTTTAGGAGTTTAAGTTGTTTTAGTGGGTAGCAGTTGTGTCTTAAGAATAGGACCTGATGAGATATTCTTTTGGAGAAATTTGAGTCATTGTAGGAGTCTGTTATGACTCTGTGTTTCACTATAAATTAGTGCCTACTGCACTTTGAAAATCATCTTTTGCAGTCAGTAAAATTTCTTTTTTTCTTCTATCTCTTCTACTGTTTTCTTGTTGTTTTCTTGATCCTGTTTTTGGGAAATTAAAAACTTCAACCTTAATTTCCTGCACGTGGTATCAGAGCTAGAATCATCCAGTGTTCTTGTTGGTCTAAGTTTTTTTTTCTAGATTACTTAAGCAGTGTCCAACAATGAACAGATTAATTCAACCTCAGCTTCCAAGGTTCAACGAAAAACACTTTGATCAGTGGTGTATCCAGATGAAGGCCTTCTTCGATTTTCAGGAGCTGTTCGAGATTGTTGATCTTGGATATGCAGAACCAGTGGATCAAACTGCAACTGTAGCACTTACTCAATTCCAGAAAGACATTTTGAAAGACAACAGAAGGAAGGACAAGAAGGCGTTATTCTTTCTCTACCAAGCTGTAGATGAGATTGTCTTTGAAAAGATCTCAAGTGCAACTACAGCTAAGAAGGCGTGGGATATGTTGCAAAAATCCTACAAAGGCGATGAAAAGGTGAAGAGTGTAAGGTTGCAAACCTTACGAGGTGAATTTGAATCTCTTAAAATGAAAGATTCTAAATCTATATCTGATTATTTTTTCCGAGTTCAATCCGTTGTCAATCAATTACGGGTTAACGGTGAAAAAAGGAAGATATATGTGTTATTGAAAAGATCATGAGATCCTTGACAGGTCGGTTTGACTATGTTGTTGCTGCTATTAAAGAAGGAAGAGATCTTTCAACCATGACGATTGAGGGTCTGATGGGCTCATTATGTGCTCATGAATACAGAGTGAATCAGAGGTCAGTCGAGCCTGTAGAGCAAGCTTTTCAAAGCAAGGTGACTCTTTCTAACACAAGTAGCTCCAGCGGTGGTAAAGGATTAGCACAAGGGAAAGTTGGTAAGAGTATGAGCCCCAAAAATAGTACCTCCTCTCAGCAAAGTAACTCTAATCAACAATCTAGAGCTGGAAGGTATGATAAGTCCAAAATTCAGTGTTTTCATTGCAAGAAGTTTGGGCATTATCGATCAAATTGTAGAGTTAAATTGTCAAAAGTTAATCATGAACATGCTAACTATGTTGAAGCTGACATACAAGAGAAAGAAACCTTGTTGTTAGCTTATAGTGCTTCCAAAGAAGAACACTCCGACAAGTGGTATTTGGATACCGGTTGCACTAATCACATGTGTGGCAAGAAGGAGCTGTTTTTCTTGCTTAGATGAATCAGTACATGGGGAAGTGAAATTTGGAAATAAAGCTACAGTTCCAATTTTGGGTAAAGGTAATATTCTCATATGAATGAAAGATGGCTCCCGTGAACATATCTTTGATGTTTTTTATGTCCCTAGTTTACATTGGAATTTATTGAGTATAGGACAACTCTCTGAAAAAGGATTAAAAATCATTATTGATGATGGAGTTTGTACTATTGAGAATCGAAAATATGAACTCGTTGCTAAGGTTAAGATGACTAAAAATCGCATGTTTCCTTTACCTCTACAAACTGATCTGATCTAGGCTTTTAGTGTTATTGTTATGGATTCTAACTGGCTGTGGCATTTCCGTTTTGGTCATCTAAATTTCAATGGATTGAGGTTGCTGGCAAAAAAGGAAATGGTTAAAGGGATACCTTTGTTGGGAGATTTTAATCAATTGTGTGAAGGTTGTATTCTCGGCAAGCAACACAGGGACTCTTTTCCTATGGAAAAGTCACGTAGAGCACAACAGTCATTGGAGCTTGTGCATTCAGATATTTGTGGACCTATGGAGACTATAACTCATGGAGGTAATCGATATTTTCTTTCTTTCATTGATGATTACAGTAGGAGAACTTGAGTCTATTTTTTAAAGCAAAAATCTAAAACTTTTGAGAAATTTAAAGAGTTCAAAGTCTACATGGAAAAACAAAGTGGTCAGAGTTTAAAGATACTTCATACAGATAGAGGAGGAGAGTACACCTCTAATGAGTTTTCTGTGTTTTGTAAAAATCATGGAATTAAACATCAACTCACGGCTAGCTATTCACCGCAATAGAATGGGGTGGCTGAGAGGAAGAACCGAACAATTGTTGAAATGGCACGCAACATGTTAAAAGGAAAAAACTTGCCCAAAGTGTTTTAGGCAGAAACTGTGTCTTGTGCTGTTTATATTTTGAACAGGTGTCCTACAAAAAGTGTTCTGGATATGACACCTGATGAGGCTTAGAACAATTGCAAATCAGATGTTGGAGCCCTTCGTGTGTTCGACTACATTGCATATGTTCATGTACCAACCGAGAAATGAAAGGTATAAAATGCATTTTCCTTGGTTACAGTGATAGAACTAAAGGTTATAAGTTGTTCAACCCAGCCACAAGTGAAGTTATTGTGAACAGAGATGTACAATTCAGTGAAGGTGAAACTTGGGATTGGACAACTGCTGAGAAGGAACATATGGGGATTGATTGGAAAGAAGAATCAGCTAGTGACACCATACCTGAAGTGCAACCACAGAATAGAGCAGTGCAATGCCTTCTAATTCTATTCCGAGTCATGATGTAGCAACTCATAGTTCATCACGTAGCTGTGTTTTGCCAGCACGCTTATAGGATTATGTTCTAACCAATGATAATGATGTTTCTGATGAGGAATTGGTCAATTTTGCATTGTTTGCAGATTGTGATCCTCTAACTTTTGCAGAAGCAACACAAAATGATGGATATATTTGAGCTATGGATGCTGAAATTCATTCAATCGAGAAGAACAACACTTGGGAACTCATTTCTCTTCCTCCGGGAAAGAAATCAATTAAAGTCAAATGGGTGTACAAGACCAAGTATTAACCAGATCGTCAGGTGGACCAGTTGAAGGCCAGGTTGGTTATGAAAGGATACAAGTAAAAGCCAGGTATCGATTATTATGAAGTTTTCGCACCCGTAGCAAGGCTTGATACGGTTCAATTGGTAATTGTTTTAGCTGCCCAAAAGCAATGGCAGATACATCAGATGGATGTGAAATATGCGCTTCTTAACAGATTGCTCGACGAAGAAGTCTATGTTGATCAGCTGGTTGGTTATGTGAAGAAAGGTCATGAAGATAAGGTTCTCAAGTTAAAGAAATCTCTATATGGGTTAAAACAGGCACCATGGGCATGGTACACTCATATTGACTTGTATTTCCAAGAAAATGATTTTCTTAAGTGCCCTTATGAGCCTACATTGTATATCAAATCTGATTCACATAGAAATATGCTTATTGTATGCTTGTATATGGATGATTTGATATTTACTGGAAATAACCCAAGTATGTTTGATAAGTTTAGGGAAGCTATAACTAAAGATTTTGAGATGACTGATATGGTGCTTATGTCTTATTATCTTGGGCTTGAAGTTATGTAGATAGGTGATGGGATATTTGTCTCACAAAAGAAGTATGCAACAGATATCTTGAAGCGGTTCAAGATGGAGTCATGCAAGCCTATCAATACTCCAATCGAAACAAAGCTGAAGTTGGACAAATCTAGTAACAGTAATCTTGTCAATCCAACGTACTTTCAAAGTTTGGTAGGTAGTCTATGCTATTTGACTTCTACTAGACCTGACATTACTTTTGGAGTTGGCATGATTAGTCGGTTTATGGAGACACCCAGCTAGGTTCATTTACAAGCTGCAAAACTAATTTTGCGATACATAAAAGGTACCCATAGTCATGGTATTTTTTATGCATCTGCTACTGACTGCAATCTTGTTGGGTATTCGGACAGTGATTGGGCAGGTGATATTGAAGGGAGAAAAAGTACTTCCGGTTCTATGTTCCACATTGGCTCGGGAGTAATTTCTTGGTCATCTAAGAAGCAACAAGTTGTGGCACTGTCAATTGCCGAAGCAGAAAACATGGCTGCTACCTCCGCTGCATGTTAAGCTGTTTGGATACGACATTCGTGCGAGGAGCTGAATCAGAAGCAAACACTACCTACGAAGGTTTATTGTGACAACAAGTCGGCTATTTCTCTCATGAAAAATCCGGTGATTCACGGGCGAAACAAGCACATTGACATCAAATTTCACTACATTCGTGAACTTGTCAAGGGAAGTGAAATGGAAGTGGAGTTTTGCAAGTCTGAAGACCAAGTTGTCGACATTCTCACAAAGCCGCTGAAAGTTAAAGTTTTCCATAGTTTGAAGAACAAGATGAGGAAGTGTAATTCTGAAAGTTTGAGTTTAAGGGAGGCTGTCGGGAATTGATCTAAACTCAAACTTAGAGTGTTTATTTTATTTAATGTTGAGTCTTATTAGTTTGAATAAGTTTGAACTATTTTACAGACCTTTAGGAGTTTGTTTTCAAGTTGTTTTAGTGGATAGCAGTTGTGTCTTAAGAATAGGACCTAATGAGCTATTCTTTTGAAGTAATTTGAGTCATTTTAGGAGTCTATTATGACTCTGTGTTTCCCTATAAAATAGTGCCTACTTGCATTGTGAAAATCATCTTTTGCGGTGAGTAAAATTTCTTTCTTTTTTCTATCTCTTCTACTGTTTTCTTGATCCTGTTTTGGGAAATTAAAGACTTCAACCTTAATTTCCTACACTTTCGAGTTCTTGTCATCGTGTTTATCGGATTTGTGTTATGTTTAGTTAGATTCAAGTTGACCTATTTATTTAACTATTCTAACGAATTCACCAATTTATTATACAAATTAACTGATTTCTCGTTAATTTCTTGTAGAATTTGCAAATCATGAAAGGATAAGCAAACCTGTATTTGGGTTTAGGGAGAGGACAGGAAAATACAAAACATGAAAAATTCTCAAATTCTTCTTCACCTTCGCTTTTCCAGATAAGTAATGGAAAGTGTTTATCTTCTCTCTCACTTTTCCTTCTTATTTTCTCTTCTCATTGCTTTTCCTCTCTCATTCAAAAACAAAAATCTTTATATAATATTGTATTTTCCTTTCTTTCAGGTTTTTGTCTCTTTAATTATATTTCCTTCCTTCAATACACACAGGAGAAAAATGGAAGTTCTTCTTCCCCTTCGTCCCCCCCCCCCCCTTTTTTCTCTCTTCCCTTCCATTAAAACCAAACACATATGATGGAGTACGAAATTGAACGGTATGAGCATTGTGATTTGTGTGAGCTCTATGTAAAGTAACAATAAATAAAAACACAAAAAATAAGTGATTCACCCAACTAAAGAGTTAAATAAGTTCATTTTAATAGAGGCACTTGTTTATTTAGTTTGTATTACTTGGAGACGAGGACGGTAATACTCTCGAGATTACAATTAAGCCTATTTTTGGAAATAGACTCTTTTCTAAATATGATGTAATATTTTAAAAGTTAATGACGTGACATTCTAAAAATAAATTTTTTATCACCAAGGTAAAATTTGACGGTGTAATTCCTCTTTTATCCTTTTTTTGATGTAAACGGAAGTGCTCCACACACTGCTGAGCTGCTTTGATGTATTGACCGAGCTGGCTCATTTCCTGGGCTAATTTGAATCCTTGTAGATTAGGTCAGAAAGAAAAAAAGAAAAAAGGAAAGGAAGTACATTTGACTATTTTCAGAAATGATTTAAATACGTCTTGACTTATTACAAATACCTGTAAATATGTAGTACTTTAAAAAAAAAAAAAAAAAAGTGAAATTGAGACAAAAAGGGTAAGCTAAAAATTACAATTTCCTTCTAGAAAAAAACCTTTTTTTTTTTTTTTAAACTTTTTAACAAAAAATTGAGGCAACCCAAACACTACATGTGCTTTGAAACTTCATAAGTTTCAATTCAGGTCATGCCTGCTGAATTTGGTATGGTTATCTGACACTTAATGTCTTCAATTTACTGTTTTTTCTTATTTTGCAAATCAATTTCTCACTTCATATGTTGGGTATGCACACAGTCTGTTTCCAACATTGTTTATTAAAAAAACAATTGACTACTTTCATAAGAACATCATACATTTTGCTACATATTGATTTGCATAATACAACGAGGAGAATAAAAAATCAACTCTACCACATCTAACCACAGCAGCAGAAACATTCTGCATTATCATCAGAAGGCTGATCAGGTACTCCATTCTCAGGTGTTCCCTCATCATTTGATTCTGATTCCCTATATCGATAAAACATTGCTACCAACATGAACAAAAGAAGATTCACAGCACTTAATGCGGCTAGTGTCCAATAATAATTATCCAATCGACTCTTATTTATCGTGTACTGGAACCAATTTGGTTTTCCTCCCTTCTCACTAACCTTACCTACTGCATATACTGATAGAACACTACCTGTGAATCCTAGTCCAAGCACTGCTTTAGGGAAGTAAACCTGGTATTTTTCCATGGATGGAGGAGCCTGATCCTTGAAGAAACCATTAATGCAATCTTCAGAGATTTGATCAAGGCCAGCCAGAAGGATAAACTGTGGAAGCAGCCAGAATACACTCATAGGGATTGTCTCATCGGGCTTGTCAAGTAACTCATGTCTCCTGATCACTCCTAGCCTTCGCGTCTCCACTTTGGCAGCTGTAATGCAACATAGTATTGAGAATATCATAGCCACTGCAATTCCAACTGGGGGAGCAAATTTTTTTACTCGTCCGTCAAAGCATTTTGCCAGACAGGTATAAAATGTGGCAAATTGTGACTTGGCAACGTTAGACAACACTAGGAAGATCGGAAGAGGGACCTTTAGTTTTCCAACCTTGTGGTTCATGTGGTTTGCTTGCTCAAGGAAGTAAGTATTTCCAATGGAACTAACTACCCCACAGATAATGAAGGTCATCCACATCGGGACGAAGCGAGTAACAATTTTGGTTTCTTCTACTTCTGTGACACTGCAAAGTCCCCATTGATTCTTCTCTTGATCTTCTTGACTTCTGGTTGGCAGTATGATTGCAGCTTTGTCTAAGCACCTTCATTCAACAGTGAATATTCACAAGAAAACTTCACGAGTGTCATAAAATCTTTCCAATTGGAACAATAATCCGTTCATTTTGCACTTAGTTGTACTTACTGCATTCATTTGGGAAGACAGAAAAATTCCCCAAACCAATCCATATAAATAATTTGATTTTGAATTTTAAGAGGCAGAGAGTGTTTCATTACCGAAGTCCATCGGTATGAGGCAGGCCATTAGAGTCAGCTTTCTTATAAAGCACTTTAGCACCATTTGGTTGCGGCTGGCATATTTTCGAAGCAGAGGCCACCAAAACTCTGAACACAGTTGTTCCTGGACTCCCTTTTGGCCCATTATGTATATATGACCAGGTCCCACTTATAAATAGAAGTGTCGCCACCAAGGTACATATTGCTGGGATTCCAAACCGGATTGACCATGGCTTTATATATGGAAGTGCAATACCTCCACCAATGGCGACAAGTATAACACTAAAGGCGCCTGCCACTTGAAATGGAGCTTTTCTTTCACTATCATTTTCATTGCCCTTTGGATGATCAGTAGTTTGTTCAGTGAGGAATGAAATTAGAGATACTATGTGGCCAGATATTCCCACTGCTATCAGAGCTAAAGCAGTGTAGAAGAGGACCTTTTGTGTTTGGCCAATGCATTCTGGCTTGTATTCACTGCATGTGCCAGTGGAATCAGAGAGGACTGGTGGTGTTGACATTGCCAGTAAGCCCAAGCCCTGCACACAATCAAGTTGGTACATTTTGACAACTCCACAACACTCACAGAGGCACCCAATCTAAGGCTCATTTAGTGCATTTGGTAAGAGATATTGATCAATTAACTATACAAAACAATCCTATGAAAACCAGGCCTAGTTTATACTTAGTACCCTGCAAAAGCATAAACAAGATGGATGTTTTATGTTTTCCTTGTGATTCACCTCGAAGTTTTGTTTACCTTCCACCAAGAATGTCTACTATGATAGCCAAGATACTGCATTGTTCAGTTCAAAGACCTGATTAGGGACCCTAAAACTTGAGTAATGAACTCAGGGACCAATGAATCAACACTTATTAAAAAGAATAGTTGAAGTGCCTCTGATTAGTCTGTCTAAGTTTAGTGCCTGATTAGGGACCTAAACTCGAATTAATGATTTGAATTGAAAGCTCAAAAAACTTGTACAAATTAAAAAGCAAAGAAATCTTAAGTGCCCCTAAGTGGCAGTTTATCGTTTGATTTCAACAATCCAAACCTTATATTTTTGGAGAATCTAGGTCTCTCTTAGTTAACTGTAACGTTTGCCTAAGGAGTGATGCTATCAAGTATTCAAAATTGCAAAACTAATGATCACAATGATAATTTCAAGTGGATATACGTCCAACATTTGAGGATATAGGAAAATCTGCAAAGAGCATTTACTTACAATGCTATAGGCAATACTGGAGATCAAAAGCATGGCATAGTTACTCAATAGGGTGTCAACAATGAAGGCAAAAACTAAAGGTAATATGGATGCTAAGCCGCCCCAAATGTTAATTATCCCAGCAGCGTGCGTGAAACTCAGCTTCCAAATATTCGTTAAGTATGTCATCATCACCCACATAGCATACCCTGCAAATAGATCAGCCCATCCCAAAACTGCCATTCAAAGGAAACTATTAGCAAAACAACATAAATATTGAAATTTAAACACTTGAATCACACTCTAATCTAGTTAATAACAAACTAAACAAACCCTCTTTCATTTTGCTCATCATAGTAAATTAAATACAGTTCTCATGAAGAAAGATTGGGTTATGCAGATAGGAGGGGATTTTGATGGCTACCAATGCCCAATTTGGACTGCAAAGAAGGTTGTTGGGGGGGGGGGGGGGGGGGGGGGCAGTTATTGAATTGAACAATGGATAAGATTTATCGTTAAGTGAGCATATGGATTTAGACAGAACCAGTAAAAACATTATCTAAATGTCAAGGGGGGCTTGAGAATTACCAGTAATCCTCACAAAGCTTGCCATTTTCTGGGTTTTCCTTATCAGTATCACTTTCTGCAAAAACCAGGTTTAATTAGAGACACAAAATTAGTGTTAGAAGAACTGTAAAAGGCAGCTATGTTGGTGTAAAGTTCACAAAGAGAGATGAAAAAGAGTGGTTCATGGTGGTATGCAAATCAGTCAATGGCATATACATTACACGAGAAAGGTATACCTGAGTGATAATAACCCTGAAATTTAGAACCAAAAACCTCACCTCCAAGTGAATTTAGCTATTTATGCTCCTTCAGAGAGAGAGTGAGAGAGATGTGGGTGGTTCAACCTCTGAGAAGAGATTGGGCCGCAAGGTAATAGATTTTATAGAATGAAAATTAACAAATATGAAGTTTTTGGGAAGAAATTTCTTGGAGAGACAGAGATTGAAGTATAAACTAATGTAATCCAACCTTCTCTCTCTCCATTAGTTCACTCTAAACTAATGTAATCCAACCTTTTCTCTCTCCATTAGTTCACTCTAATTTTCTGGGTTTCCAACCCAGTTCCTAGAAATCTCCCAATCACTTGTCTTCCATTTCGGTGGAAGACCATAAAGAAAGACCGTTGACCTTGTCTTACAGGCATACTTTGGGGGTATGTTTGTTTGGTGTTTAAACATGGGTAGTATTGAAAATGCAAGCTCAAAAGATAGTACTCCAGGTAAAATGTCAAACAAACAATAATAAATGAACTCTACATATTATTTTCTTATATCCCACCCTATAATATCATAATATTTGAAACAAACACGCCCTTATAATATTATACTACTTCTGATCACCTTTGCCAGTTAGCATTCAAGCAACTTGCAGGATGCTTCTCTCTCAGATTTTTTTTCTTTATTCCTACTTGAGAAAATTTAAGCACGTGGATGAACCAAATTAATAAGTGTTTCAACGCCGCCACTATCATTTGTTAACACAAAACAAAAGAAAATTAGAAAAACAGCAAGTTGGTGCCGATCACGGAGCTAACCTCTAAATAGGTAATGTGGTGTTGGTTTTGCATCGTATTTAAATCGTGTTGTTTTGAAATTTATTTAATTTTTAATTAAATTATTTATATCAGAGTCTAATCGGGATTAGTGTTATGTCGTGTCGTTTCATTTCGTTTCATATTTACATCATAGTTACGTCATCTAATGAGTCTGTTTGTGTTAACTCATATATTTGACGAGTTTAATGAGTCTGCTTGTTCACCGCTTGAATTTGCAAAGGCTCAACTCAAATTTATTAATTCCGTGTTGATTTTTTTCCAATGTTGATATAGGTTATGTTTTGAGCTTCTGGGTATTTTGTAATAATCTCTTATTCCACTTTCAGGAGTACGTATCGAATTAAAAGCATGTGGATTGATATTCTTTTCCTCTTAAGGTTTTGGATCATATTTGAATTGAATTTGTTTATGAGCCAAAATTTTTGCTTTTAAAGAAAATTTAAAAAAATTTCTAATGCTCTGTTTAGTAAGAATGATGAAAAGTAGGAGAAATTTAATTTTAATTTTTTTTTAAAAAAGTATAAATACATATTTTATCATTATATTTATATATAAAATTAATGCATACATAATATATGTATATATTAAATGATATATAAACAAATACGATACATTTTTAACGTAGATAATTAATTTATTATCTATTTTTTTTTCTAATTTTAGAAGGATTGATTTTGATTAGTTGAAAAGGAAAGATCATCCATCTATTTTTTCATCCTTCCTATTTTTCTTTCTTATGAAACATGATGTTTTATATATCCCTTTAACTTTTCATCATTTTATTTTTTCATTGTATCAAACGAAATATAAGAGCTAATTTTTTAGGAAAAAAATCCAAAAAAAAAAAAATACAAAATAGAGAGCTACATTAAAATTTTTTTTTTGAACAAAATAGAGTAGTTAACAATTATTTAATAGGGACGAACTTCAAATTCAAACGTCTTGAATTTAATTTTCACTATTCATTGAGATTAAGTCACAAGAAATTCCCTAATTCTGATATAAATGACATATTTTTTATTAAGAGAAAAATGGCATCAGTTGAAGAGTGCGTAAGATAACTTGAGCACTCTTTATGATTAAACCAAAAAATAAGTATTATACTGAATAACATATCATGATGTTGACATGGATAAAAGCTTACTCACCAATCACCATTGCTATAAAAAGGTTGCTAGATTTATCCACAGGTGAGTGCCATTGGAGAATTGACTCTGAAGCAGGTCCGGCTTATTGGGCCTCCGACAAAGGCCCATATAGCCCGAGACAGTATTAAACCTTAAAAAAATTGGAAGGAGGTACACCTAATTAGACTTAATTGTAAAAAAATATATAAAAAAAAATATTAGATAATTAAGTTCTTAATTTTAATACTTATTTGTATCTAAGTACATTATTTAAATTTTACTGATTTTTTTGTGACATTTTTACCATTCATTAATCCATGTGTATTTAATGCACCATTTTTCTTTGAAAGGAGATGCATTAAACATCTCCTAGTTTTATGAAAGAACTTTAATACGTATATATATATACATGAATATAAATTTTAAAATTCAAACAAGTATATATATATGTATTTGAAATTCAAACAAATATATATATATATATATATACATACATTTTTATATATACAAATTGATTTATGCGTTATACATAACACTTATATAAATACTTATGTATGTATGTATATATGTATATATTTGTTGTTAAATTTCTTATCTAAATTTTGAATTATCTTTTAATGCACCCTGATTCATGCATTTTTTTTAAAGTGGTTTTATTTTTAAATTAATTTAATATCCAAATAGTGTAATAGTGTAACAATGTAACAGTATAACAATAAAAGTGTAACAAGCTATTTATATAAAATATTGTACTATTACATTTTGTCAAACATATAGTTTCATAAAATTTCATTCAAAATAGTTCATCTACATTTTGAATTTGTTACCACATACACAAAATTATTGAACACTGTTTTTATTATAGTGTATTTGTTACAGTGTATTTGTTACACTGTTATTGTTACACTATTATATTATTTGGATATTAAATTAATTTAAAAATAAAATCATTTAAAAAAAAAACGCATGAATCAATGTGTATTAAAGATAATTCAAAATTTAAATAAGAGATTTAACAACAAGTATATATATATATGTATGCGTTTTTACATGTATTAACAAATATACATGAATTAAAATGCATTAAATGCTTATTTATATGTATTAAGAAATACACATGAATTAATGTGTATTACATATAAAAGATTTTGAATTAAACGACCCTAAAATAAAAATTTATGTCTTTGTAACTCAGCTGTATATTTTTTTTTTAAATATTTTTTATCAAATAAGTCTAATTAAGTTTACCAGATTTTGAAGAATCCATAAACCTTGGTCCCGTCTCACATTCCATTATTCAGTTTTGCCCTTCAAAATTGGGAAAGGATAGTAATTGTCAACTAAACGATGTCGTTGATCAACCATGGGGCCCAAGGGTGTCTGGCCAATGGTTGGAGTAAATATTACTGACAACTCTCATTTAAGTCATGTCACCGTCCAATTAGAAACTTACAAATTGACAAAATAAACTCCAATGTTTTAAGAACCGATGTTATATCCGAATGGTTGGAGCCCTTCATAACAATAGAGTGCCATATTGATGGTTGGAATCTACCTTCTCCTCCACTGTAGAGTAAATAACGTTACCTATCAAAAAAAAAAAAAATTCCAATTTTTTAAATGAAATAGTCATGTGCTATCACTGTCACATTGAAAATTTTCTCCACTGGTTGAACTCACTATAGTAATCCCACCTTTTTTTTTTTTTTTGTTCAACCACCCTGAATGTTTGAGTCAATTTTTATCTATCTCGACTAACACTTTTTTAGATCTGGTCAAAAGTCAACCATTCACGTTGGGACCCTAAAAAGATTTTTAAGATTCGAATTCAACACATATGAGTTTACAGCTCATCTCTATTACCACTTCAGTTACCCTTGAGATAACATGAAATAATTTTCAAATTTTTTGTTGGTAAAACGCGGACTGCATTATATTATATTGTAATGAAATTTATTGTGACTTATTGATTTTGTGTTGCTTTATTTGTAATTATTAGTATTCTAAATAATAAAATATAAATTTTTGTACACGTAACCTATTTTGATTAATAAAAAAATAGAAGATACGTTATTTTTTAATAGTGTACCGGGACACCGTACATCAGAGTATGTATTAGACATTTTTTGTTTTTTGGGTCAAGGCACATCTTTCTCATGAAACGAAGAACCGGAAGGTCCGGAACCGGAACCCACTCCAAAGCTGATTGCCCAAGTTGACCCCATATAAAGACAGAATTTATCATTACCCAAACGGTAAAAAAGGACATGTTCCAAAAAACAAAAAAAAAGGGTAAAAAAGACAAATTGTAGATTGCACCTTGAAATAATTTTACATTCTTTAATTAATACTCTGAATGATTAAAATTTATATATTGCACCCTAAATCAAACAAAAAAGTAACAACATGCTCAATTTTGAAAGAAAATTAACAACAAATTTTTTATTAAAAATAGTTAAAATTTAATATTAGACANCCCTAAATCAAACAAAAAAGTAACAACATGCTCAATTTTTAAAGAAAATTAACAACAAATTTTTTATTAAAAATAGTTAAAATTTAATATTAGACAACTAAATTATATATAAAAATATGATAAATACAACAAAATATTTGTCAAAAAAGGCAACAAATATTTAATTTTGAACTACACTATTACCTTTTTATTTGGTTGAGAGTGCAGTGTAAGAATTTCAATTTTTTAGGGTACAAATTAAAAATTAAAGAATTTTTAAGGTGCAAAAAATGTCATTCATCCTGATAAAAAAATATGAAATTGGTTCCTTGTTATTTTAATTTTCTTCAACAAAATCATTTGGTTTGGCTTCATAATCTTGTCTATGTGTGTGTGTGTGTGTGTGTGTGTGTGAGCACCTTTACGCTCCCTCTCCGATATTTTTATAATCGTATTATATTTGAATTAATTTATACCACTCGAGATTAAAATTATAGCACCAAGATTCCATTATTTTCTCAATCAAACTTACCACTCATTAACTTTTTCATTAGAAAGAAATCTAGTCAAGTCTACGAATAGCAAAAATAAGTGAAAAAAAACTCTCTTATTTACAATAATTCATTTCAGTGTGATAAAAATTAGTCATTGGTGGATGTATAGTCTTCTAGTTTTTTTTTTTGAGCAGAAGAAAAAGAGCATATATAACTTATATAGGAAAATGTTGATTACAATTCGAGAGGATGGAAGCCCGAAGCTCGGGAGGGGGGATGCCTAACCAATCCAAAAGAAGGGAATTGGTTAGCTTAGTAGCTGCCACCCAATGAGCTGCCCGATTACAGGCTCGGGGCTTGTGTAAAAAGCAAAGGTTTTATAACCTGTCCAATAATCTAATGTCAGTCAAAATCACTTGAGACTCCCAGGGGAAAACATCCTTAGTTGAACTTAATTGGATAATGGTAAGGCAGTCATTGGTGAGCAAAAGGCCTTCAGCGAGAAGGCAGGCTTGACGCACTGCCTCAGCCTCAACAAATAAATTCATCCCGAACCACACACGCTTCGTCCACTCACAATCAAACAAAATGTGTTCAATAGACTCAGTATGAAGCTGGCAGATAGGGCAGAGAGGAGAGGGAGAACATTTCCGTTTAAATAAATTTTCATTTGAGGTCAGGATGTTGTGACAAGCCAGCCACCAAAAATGTTTGACTTTAGGAAGAGCTTTCATGTGCCAGAGAACCTTCCACAATGCAGGTTGAGAAGAAGAAGAACAACAACAATCTGAATGAGTCAGCACAGTCGAAGTGGCCAACCGATATCCCGATTTAACAGTGTAAGCACTTTTTCGCTCCAACCGCTAGATTCGACGATCAGAAGCACGAAAGACGGACAAGGAAATGGCACAGATAGCCGCAGAATCAACCCGGGAAACCACAGAATTTAGCAAGGGAACATCCTACCGAGGAGGATTCAATTGAATAAACTCGGCCACTTTAACGGAGGAGCAAGTTGGTGGCTTGGGAGAAATAACAGTCAACGAGGGAGACAGTGGAATCCACTTATCAGTCCAAAAGTCAATACAAGAACCATTACCCAGCTGCCACAAAAGGCCCTTCTCAAGAAGAATGCGGCCATGAAGAAGACCACTCCAACCCCAGGAAGGTCTGCATCCCCTCGTAGCATGGAGAAAATCCGCATTTGGAAAATAGATTGCTTTGGTAAATTTCGCACAAAAAGAATCTGGCTGAGAAACCAAGCGCCAACACTGTTTAGCCAACAAGGCTTGATTCAATAGAAAAAAATCCCTAAAACCCATACCACCTCCAGCCTTGGACACAATCATGCTCTCCCATTTTTTCCAACAAATACGTTCCTCTCTTCATTGCTCTTCCACCAAAAAATCCGCACAAATCGATTCAGCTTAACACAAAAATTCTTAGGAAAAGCAATCACTGACATAACATAATTAGGGATGGCTTGGATCACGTCCTTAATCAAAACTTCCTTCCCCACATGAGACAGACAGGAACCTGCCCAGCCTTGTAGCTTTTTAGCCACCCGTTTCAGAATGTAAGCAAAAACTTCATTCTTAGATTTGCTCCCACATTGAGGGGATGCCCCGGTAACAAGATTGAAAAGGGAGAGGCTGCAAACCAAGAAGCAGACAACAAAAGGAACGTTGAGCTTCAGTCTTCTAGTTAAATTTGAGATATTTGTGTTCGGCCTTAACTGAGGTATTTGTTATTCGTATGAATAATCATATTATTTTTGAATTTCTTATATATATAAAGTTAGTCAATCATAATTAATTTCACATTGTATTTAAAATTATAGCTGTACTGTTGATAGAACAAAAGTGTAAATGGGAGTAATTTTAGCAGTCGGGTGAAAAAGGAATAAACAGAGAGGACAATAAGGAGCATATAGATATCCATCTGACCTAATTGAGGTAACCATTGATTATATCGTACCGCCACCGACAGGGACAACCTGGTCGACAGAAACCATTGTAGCAGTCCTCGTCCCTATGTCTGTTTATTGAGTGAGATCACCTCCCACGCAGCGGCACTCAGCCAACCGCAGTTGTAGGTGCCGCATGATTAAACTCATCAGAGAGAGAGAGAGAGAGAGAGAGAGACAGAATTTCAGGAATTTTGATCTAAACTGAACAATCATTAGTCTGAGAAAAAACATAGTCCAAGTGTTGGGCCAAAAGAAGAAAAAGCAAAATGTTAATTAGCTGAAGTTGGTGGAATTAGTTGTGACCATTTCTGCCATTAAGTTTTGATCCTAAGGAAAACTTTTTAATTTTTTTTAATTTTTTTTCCAACGGTTAGGTTGAAGTTAATTTACGTGTATTTCAATTAAATTTTTTTTTGATCTAGTTATATCATTCATATTAAAACTAAAATATTCATAAGAGATTAATCTCTTATCATCTGACTTCAAAAATTTGTTAAGATTTAAATTCAAGACTAGAGATGTTTAAATTTCTGATTGACCTCAGTTACTTATTCTACCTTACCCTACCCTACTAAGCGGTTAGCCACAAAAATCAGATAGAAATGTAGAAGAGTTTTTGGTCTTCTGATTAAATTGGGTAGGAATGCGGAATACCCATCAATTGCCGCATTTCTACCCTACCCTACTCGCAAAAAATATATTTATATTTTTTATATTTTTTTTAATAATTATAAGAGTATTTGTGTGGTATAATTTATATTATAACATTGTTATTATTGTAGATGTTTGAGTTGCAAAAACATAGACTTGTTTTTTGTGTAGGTTAAATGATTTGTAGTGAACTGGTGATCTATTGGATCAGTTATGATTTTAATGTGTTTCATATGGTTTAAATTTAAAATAATTATTATTATATTTGTATAACAAGTATGATGGGTTAATATTCATACTTTCTTATGTTTTATTGTAATTGTTGTTGTGGTTGTTTAAGATTTTAGTGTTATTGATTTATTGTGTTGTTAAATTGACATATATTATTTAATTGAATTGTTAAAATGAGCCAAAAATTAATAACTACAAAAGTGTTTACCAGACTTTCTACTCAATTAATCGGGTAAGAAGTCGGATAAGAATACCACACTTGATCGGGTAAGGTAGGTCAAACAACGTATCGGATAAGAAGACGAAAGACTATATTTTCTACCCATTGAAGAGGGTGAACACCCCTATTCAAAATGTCTGAATTTACAATTCTATCGCTGGTATCACTTGACCTATTTTTATGATTGATTTCAAAAAAACCTAATGCTTTAAGGGCAGACATACTTCGATTTCAAAAAAACCTGTAATCTTATCACATGCGACATACTTCGATTTCTTTCTTTATTAGAAAACTTTTCAACCCATTCAACCTCCGCCCCAATTTCATTAAAATCCCTCAACCAAATTTATCTAAGTGTATTTCCTTAAATTCGGATTAAAATTTGGGTTCAAATTAAATTTGATCATTAGATTACACAATATGGCATGAAATTTTAAGATGCATAGTTTGATTTCACTAATTCGGGTTAGGACCCAAAAANGCAAAAACATAGACTTGTTTTTTGTGTAAGTTAAATGATTTGTAGTGAACTGGTGATCTATTGGATCAGTTATGATTTTAATGTGTTTCATATGGTTTAAATTTAAAATAATTATTATTATATTTGTATAACAAGTATGATGGGTTAATATTCATACTTTCTTATGTTTTATTGTAATTGTTGTTGTGGTTGTTTAAGATTTTAGTGTTATTGATTTATTGTGTTGTTAAATTGACANATTATGATGGGTTAATGTTCATATTTTCTTATGTTTTATTGTAATTGTTGTTGTGGTTGTTTAAGATTTTAGTGTTATTGATTTATTGTGTTGTTAAATTGACACATATTATTTAATTAAATTGTTAAAATGAGTCAAAAATTAATAACTACAAAAGTGTTTACTAGACTTCCTACTTAATTAATCGGGTAAGAAGTCGGATAAGAATACCACACTTGATCGGGTAAGGTAGGTCAAACAACGTATCGGATAAGAAGACGAAAGACTATATTTTCTACCCGTTGGAGAGGGTGAACACTCCTATTCAAAATGTCTGAATTTACAATTCTATCGCTGGTATCACTTGACCTACTTTTATGATTGATTTCAAAAAAACTTAATGCTTTAAGGGCGTACATACTTCGATTTCAAAAAAACCTGTAATCTTATCGCATGCGACATACTTCGATTTCTTTCTGTATTAGAAAACTTTTCAACCCATTCAACCTCCGCCCCAATTTCATTAAAATCCCTCAACCAAATTTTGTCCAAGTGTATTTCCTTAAATTCGGATTAAAATTTGGGTTCAAATTAAATTTGATCATTAGATTACACAATATGGCATGAAATTTTAAGATGCATAGTTTGATTTCACTAATTCGGGTTAGGACCCAAAAAACTCAACACCCCAACACAAGTAAGTAGTGATTATTTCAAATCAGGTTCCAGCTGATCAGCCCAAGTTATGACCCTAATTGCAACTCTCGCGTCATTTTCGTTATAAAAAATCGTACAACTGCCACCCTTCTCAATGTCATTAATTTTATGCTAGGAGTTAAGACATTGAAAAGGACTGAAATCAAAAACTGCTCGAGCATTGATTATCTGAAATCTTAAAATTGTATAGATGCTTCGCACAGTAATTCCAACTTAACTCTTTAAAATGACTAGTTAAAATATATTTAAATATTTTATTTTTTATTTCAATTAATAATTTTTACAAGTTCACTCTAATCACGTTTTTTATTTTAATTAATTACTACTACACTCAAATCTCACTAACTTCTAATAATTTAAAAAAAATTACAATATATATATAAAGAGACAGAAAGAAAAAGAGATAGAAAAATAATTTAGAGAAGTTAAATAACTCTCCACATTTGAAGAGGCATTTTGGTGAAATGGAAAATAGAGAATGGGTTGAAGATGATTTTTAGTGTTTAACTAACTAAACTAGCTAAAACATGAGGAATGGAGAGTGGGTTGAAGTTGCTCTTAGATTTAATATAATTATCTATATCAAAGAGCAACATGCATACCAAAATTGTTATTATGTTACATAACAATCATCGTCCTCACAATCAACTTTCTTATTGTAGCAATTTGAAATTTCAAAACATATGGAAAATCAATAGAAAATCATGGGATTTACATTTTAATTTCCTCAATCAGGATGTTCTGCATCTTCGTTTGAACTCGTCCATCTGTTCCAGCCATCATGGCATACTTGTCCTTTCTAGTCAAATTGGTGCACTCAAACCCTAGTGTCCCTGCCAGCACCTTCTGTATATAATTTGCAACTTCAATGGCCGATTTTCCTCCTTTGCAAGTGAGCTCAGCAGGCAATTGCTTCAAGAAGGTGATCTCGTACGTAGGCCTTGGATTCATGAACACAAAATAAGGATCCAATAGTTTGAAACCTCGTACTGTTGTTCCATAGAACAAGCTTTGTTTGGTATTAATCGCTACTGGAACAATTCTATCGGTGAGCTCAGCAAAGAGTGCACTAAACCTTAGCAGAAATGGCTCTCTACAAGTAGTACCTTCAGGACATATGACTAAATCACCTTCTTGAAGCAAACGTTTGATATTTTCTGCATCTTTTTCTCTCTCCCTTGATAATGCAACGGCTTTAATTGGTGAAATCAATTCTGAAAATTTGCTTATACTATAAGTAACACAACTGATCTTTCTTCCTAATGCAACGGCGGTGACAACGGGGTCTAGGACCGTCCGGTGGTTACAAATGAAGAGGACCCCGCTATGGCCGGCCTTGGGTGGGGGAGGAGGAGTACCCTTGACAATAAGATTGATTCCGAGTATTTTATAGGTGTATCGGACGATTCTTTCAGGCAATGGAATGTTGAGGTAGACCCTAATGAGGGAGAGGATGATGCCTATTGGCATCCACAAGAAGGTTAAGAGGGCAACAAGAGGGGTTGGCCTTTGAACTAAACGACCCTCGTGAAAAATTACAGGAGTAGGAAGTTTGTCCCTTGGTAGTGGCTCGCATTTTGTTCTTGGAACCATGTATCCTTCCTGTGATTTCAAAATCAAGTCGAGTTAGAAAGAATATATTATACAGACTAAGTTTTATAATAAATTTTATAGAGGAAACCCAAATTTAAGAGAAGGCTCTGTGAAAAAAGATTGTAAACAAGAGATGTTTACAAAATTGGGTGCTTCTTTGTAAAAGCAGTAGTAGTTATCATCCCTGTTAAATCCAGCTATTACACTTTTAGTTTGATTCTCACTTATATTTGCCTTGTGCTATTGGGACTTGTTTTAAAAAGGAAAAAAAATTAAAGTAAAGCATATGTTCCGTAAATGTGTGCGAGCGAGAGAGTGAGTTCTCTCATATAACTTTCATGAGGTACATATATAATCTAGATAGGGGTTTAATTTTAACTTTTGTTTTTATTTTTTTACCGGGAAAGAGAGTAAGAGAGAGAAAGAGAGAGTACTCTCTCATATAACTTTTGTGAGGTACATATATAATCTAGGTGGGGGTTTAAGTTTAGCTTTTTTTTCTATTTTTTTACTGGAGAAAAGAGAGAGAGAGAGAGTACTCTCTCATATAACTTTCATGAGGTGCACATATAATCTAAGGTATTGATTGAATGCAAAGGTGGTTGAACATGAAGGAAGGATGCATGTTGTCTGGTGTCCTTCCAATTAAAGATGACCATTTACTCTCTACTTCCCCACTAAAGGAAAAGAGTAATACTACCAAAGGAAAATTGAGAGACAAGAAAAAAGATGAGGAGACTAAAAAACGACCATTGAGATACTTATATGTAATAAAATGCCACTTGGACCAATAACAATTCAAATTATGGAAAATTCAGTAATAGAATAAGGGGGAGAGAGAGAGAGGAGATCATGAACAAAGCTCTAAGCCCACAAAAACTCTCACCAAACCTTTCAAAAAGAGAAAGATGGAAAAAAAGTTTCTCTTCGTTGTACCTATTTTGCTTCTTCGAGCTAAGAAACAGCTTAGAAAAGTTCAGAAAGAGAGATGTTCATGAACAAAACATTATTAAAGGACCTAATTACTGTACAAGACTCCCGTCAATTAGGGTTTGAAAAGGATTAGATGAGTAAAATATTATGTTCCTATTAAAATATAAGGATTAATATGAAAACTTTGTTAAGCTACTTAAATTGATCTAGCTAGAAGAAAGATGAGAAGAAAATTGTAAAATCAATAATGGGTGTGAGGCTGTGAGCTCGAACCTTGCAAAGGGACATGAAGTCATGGTCGGTTTCTCTATCTCCCAGCCCTAAATCAGGCATATTAGTGCCAAATTCCTTTATAATGGCGGCTTTTTTATGTTCTCCAACAAGAACACCTGGTTTCTTCACGAACCCCGTTGCTCGTCCCGATTTCGAAACCTCCAACTCCGTCCCAATAACCTTATCAGCTCCTAGAAATTTCTTGACAAAGTGTTCCACCATAATTGTAGGGTTTGCAGTAATTATATATCTCTTTCCAAAGGAACTGAACACTTTCCAAGTATCTGGGTGAACATCCTCGGCGTAAAACTTTGGCAAAACAGACCTCGAAACAATCTCAATATCTCCAATTTTCAAGCCTGAAAAGGCGATGAAGATGAAAGTTTTGATAGCTATGGATTCGGATACGAAAATGTATGTGAAGTACACGAATGGAACTGATGCTAGAAGAACCAGCGCCCTTAAAAGGCTACCAGCTTCTAAAGCAACAAGCATGAAGTAGGGGAAAGCACTTCTGGAAATAAGAAGAGTGCCATCTAGGTCTCCTGCCACTGTTTGATTGGATCTCCCCGCAGTGCTACATTTGGAGATTGGTTCAAAATGGCGATAAGCACCCATGAGAGAGAGAGAGAGAGAGAGAGAGAGAGAGAGAGAGAGAGAGAGAATTGGTGGTTGGGTAAGAGCTAGATGTGTTGTGTTGTGAAGAGAGGAGGTGGGTATAAAAAGGGATGGAGAGAGATGGGCATGTGAATTTTGTTGTTGGTGGTGATATATGTGGTTGAGAGCAATAACAAAAGGGAAGATTAAACAAGTATAAGACAACCTTTTTTGACGTTAAATTAGGGCTGTTGTAAACAGGGGTCGAAGTAGTTGAAAGTTCAAACCTACCAACACTACATTCAATTAGCCTACTTTTTAGATTTTAGATACCGGCCTCGCCAAGCCATTATTTCAGCTCAAGTCCCTTATTACTTGGCGGCAAAGATTGTAACATTCAGTTTATATGGCTTGTCTCAGTGTCCTGCATGACTGAATGAATGTCAGCATGCCCAGTAACTTAATGATCGTGTCTGCACAAATTCAGTGTTACTTTTTCATACCTTAACTCCATTGTCAGGTACATGTGAGTAGTGTTAATTCACTATGTTACAGTACCTATATGGTTTTGAGTTTCTACAGCCATAGCAATGTAATTTGAGAGATGTTGAATAAAGAAGATTCAATTGATCTACATAGACCTATGTACGTTTGTGTGTGTATATATATCTATATAATAAATTATAATACAATTTAAAGCTCAAAAACAAATTGAAGTATAATTTGGTTTTTCTAAGAGTATGCCAACCAGCTAGTTAGTGAAAGTTATTTTTGTACAAATGGGGAAAAATGAAAAAGAAAGAGATTGAACAAAAACAAACTTACTATAATTTGCCATTTCCATGAGTAGCCATCATCTCATGTTACTTTTTGATGCATGTGCTCAACTTCCAATTATTTGCTGAGGGTAACAACTTCAAACATACTTTCTCTCAATTTAATTCGGTATTAGATTGTCTGCTATGTTTTTTAGTGAGAAGTGGGTCTCTTAGTGATATATGATAGATGATTTATCATTCTGTAAATTGACAGAAGATGTAATAAAGAGGATATAAATCACTTCAAACTATATATGTCAAAATCCTCCATCATGATTCGAAAGCCAACTATCTTTTAACTAAGGCATAGTGCTGGCTTCAGAAAAAAAGCAAATGAAGTTAAGGGAAGTCCTTCACAAAAAGTGGGCAAATATTTCTTTGTGGAAAGTAACTACAATCAGCTTAAAGCAAAGACAATGTCCCTTCTATAAAAATTGGAGACCTAGGCAAAAGTATATAAATAACATAATTATAATTATATTCAAATATTGTTGTTAATGAGACATATGTAGATCTCAACGTATTGAGTTCAAAATTTAACAATCTCTTGGGACATTTGTTATTAACCTTGATTTGGATGACTTGCCTTTGATCTGACCGGAAAAGGGATTAGTCAATGTATGCGTAAACTTGCTCGGATACCCTTAATAGTTGAACCCAAAAAAATATATATATATAGCTTGGAAAAATTTTGACATAGAAAAAAGTGGCAAATTGTTTGCATTTCAATTAAGAATGAGCCAGTTGTAAGAGTGGTTAGAGCCTAATGGTGGCTTGGAGCTGAGCCAATTCTTGCTTGAGTTAATAGAAGCCACAATAAATGGGTGCATTTCTTGAGATTGCAAGTTTCCATGATAAAAACCAGTTCTCTTTGTTTTTATTTATTTATTGTTTTGAAGACTTTAACAGGTTTTCATTTGTTAATGGGGTACATGATGGTACTGGAGGTCGTATCATTGTCGAATCAATCCTAAATATTAAAATTGATCTTAAAAAATTAGAATCGATTATCTCATTTTTCAATCATCTCGCTAGAATATTTTTTTCAAACGCTTCTCACCAAATCGATTGTAACTTCAAATCATTTTCTAATGATTTTTGTACCATAACAAAAATAAAGTTGGGAGTATTGTTGATGGTTTTCCAAAAGTCTTTAAAACCGCCTCTTTGCTAGCTAGCTTGTAGCAGAAAACAAAAAGATGACTCTAGCCAATGTTTCAAAGAGGTAGATATATCAACATCAACTACACCTCTCTCAGACTCTCACTCTCTTGTTTGTGAAGAAACAATTAACTTGAAAGCAATCAAAAACCCATTAATTTGGGTAACTGGGAAATTAATCACATGCATGTTGGGGTTGTAAACTTGTAGTTGAGGTTAGGAACTTCTTGTCTGTCCAATAATAAATTGGGATAACACAGGCACCGTTTAGAAATTCGTCTGCAGTCGTTGTTTTGGTTTGAATAATTTTTAACCATTCATTGAAAAAAAGGCTAAACTAAGACAACAATAAGAAAATAAGAAAACTTTTCACCTATCATGTTATTACTAAATGAAGAGTGGAGGTACATATGGTATCAAAAAAGTTTCGATGCCATAGGTGGACCTGTGAAATAGTCATAACGGCTCTTTTTTGTTTTTATTTTTTTAGCTTAACAGCGAGTGGTGTCCAGATTAGTTTATGTGCACTGACACTAATTTCATCTCTAATCTAACCAAAAACAGGCTATTCAGGGTGGAATTAGGTTATTCATGAGAGATTTATCTCTCACAATCTGACCCTGAGAAATTATTAAGATTCAAATTTAAAATGTTTAAGTTTACAGCTCATTCTTATTATCACTTGAGTTATTCGTTGAAATTAACAACGGATTGAAGTACAAAAGTACTAAAGAATATGAGATCAGAAGATATTCTGTGGTAAAGAAGATGGTAACCTAATCTTATCGAAATTTACCTGCAAATTAAGACACCTTTCTTGTGAACACATTTAATTAATTTTACTACAACTGCTTCAACCTTGTCTGCCAATAATTTTGTTCTTCTAACTCAGAGAAAATTTGTTGGACGGAACAAGAATGTTTGGCTTTGCCCGCTATATCAAACATACCAAATAATAAAATAATGTCAACAGCTGGGGAAAAACATTTGTAGAAAGAGAAGAGTCACATCTAACTCTTCTTCTGGATCAGGAAAGTCCATCAGATTGTCAGTCATGCAGGGTGACCCCAACAAGAATGAGTCAGAATTTTCTTTTCTTTTCTTTGCTTTTGCTTTCTTTTGCTGCTAGTGTCTAATTTTACGCCGTTTACTCCCTCAAACTCACCGGCGTGAGATGTGTGTGTGTGAGAGAGAGATCACTAACCTGGTGCATGTAGGAGACTAATGAGACAAAATCAATCAAAACCGCCTGGCGCCAATAATGTCATGGTTGTTAAAGCTGTTACCTAATAAACTCATCTAAATGTCTAAACTAATACTTGAAAGGAAATATTATTAATAAGTATTATTTTTTCTCACAACCAGTTCTGCTCTGTGGTATAATGACCTTTCCTTTTCGTCTAGCTCTCTTGGTCAGAGAGAGAGAGAGAGAGAGAGAGAGAGAGAGAGAGAGAGATTAACCTAAATGTGGAAGAATATAATGCATGTAGAAGACCGGAGTTTAGGGGGTGTCATAAAGCTAAAGCTGAGATGATGCTAGACTTCTTTAGTCACTTGGAAATTAATGAGACTTAAAATCAATCAGGACAAACTAGTGCCAGTAATGGTGTGGTGGTTATTAAAGGCTGCTAAACCATCAACCCATCTGAATTAATGCTTAAAATGTTAAAAGAGGTGTAACTTATCTATTTTTTTTTATATAATTCAGCACACACCTCTTGATATGAAATCACGTTAAATCACCAGTTTATTTAAAAGTTTAAGTTGTTAGAGAAAAAATAATATCAATAATTATACATGTTAATAAAAATATCCAACTCAAACTTAATGCGCTACACCATTTATCTTATGGGATAAGAGATAAATAAAATAACCCGAATACTTAACGAGAGATATAATATGGTGCCGAGTATGGAGATAATAGATTAAATGCCAACAAATTAATAAATCTACCAAAATACATTTGTTTAGGCCTAAAATATAAAATTTTAGGAATATTCACTGTATAGATACTTGGCATCCCTAGATTTATTGAAGAAGTGCCACGTGGCAGAATGTGAAAAAAAAACGAAAAATGATCAGTTACAGTCACATTTGAAAAGAGTAAAATAATTGATTAGAAGTTATCATTAAGTAATTGTCGATGGAAATAAAACCGTCGGAGAAGATGAATATAAAATTGGCATTTAATGAACGAAAGAATACACGATCAAATCCCCAAAAGACTCATAATCTGGACATTATTAGAAGTAATTTTAGTCTAGTTTAGGAGCAGTTAGGGCTATAATCAAGATTGTTTTATTCAGTCTTTTGTAACTGAAGTCCCTTAAATTGAATTAATAAGATAGTTCTTTTTATTAGTTCTTTGTTTTAATATCACCTTTGCACACAAGATTTCCCCGCGTTTTCATCCAAGAAATTCCTAAAATAATGCATTTGAATTCTTTTCCAATAATTGCCTAAAATATGCCTGTTGTTTGAGAGATTTTCATCGATTCCAACAATTTTTGGAACAATGACATCTCTGGGGTATCATGTTGAAATTGTTAACTTGAAACCCATTCACAATAGATAGAGCAATTGAATTCATACAAACCAAACTATGTTCATTGGATTNAAGAATATAATGCATGTAGAAGACCGGAGTTTAGGGGGTGTCATAAAGCTAAAGCTGAGATGATGCTAGACTTCTTTAGTCACTTGGAAATTAATGAGACTTAAAATCAATCAGGACAAACTAGTGCCAGTAATGGTGTGGTGGTTATTAAAGGCTGCTAAACCATCAACCCATCTGAATTAATGCTTAAAATGTTAAAAGAGGTGTAACTTATCTATTTTTTTTTATATAATTCAGCACACACCTCTTGATATGAAATCACGTTAAATCACCAGTTTATTTAAAAGTTTAAGTTGTTAGAGAAAAAATAATATCAATAATTATACATGTTAATAAAAATATCCAACTCAAACTTAATGCGCTACACCATTTATCTTATGGGATAAGAGATAAATAAAATAACCCGAATACTTAACGAGAGATATAATATGGTGCCGAGTATGGAG